GTAATGTATATATACCAGTTCCTTACAGTGAATAAATCATTACATACTGTAAACATGTACTAATAAAAATAAGTTTTATAAAAAAGGCCTACTTTTGACTTGATTATATTTAATTTGCTGTGTGACACTGATAGAATTGCTGAGTCTCTCTGGGTTTCATTTACCTAACTGACCAAAAAAAGAGAAAAGGTTGCAGTACAAATATTCTAAAGTTCCTCTCTATTAAAAAATTCTGTGACACTGACTTAGAAATGTGGACCAAAAACGTTACATAAATGTAGCAAATTCTCCTATAGTGACTTTATTCCTAACAAGCACTTTGCCCTAAACAGTTCTGTACTCTGGCTTAGCCCTTCTTTGGTGTGGTGGATTTGTACTGTTTCTCTCTCACAACCTACACCACCATCAGCTCCTTCCCCACTCCTATTGCTGGATCTTCCAGCAGACACATGTAAAACGAAGGAATTTCTCCCTGAATTGTGCTTCCTGTAACAGTCGCTGTTGCTCAGGCCTATTGAAGGTGATTCAGCCTTTGGTGTTTTGCTTAAAAGTAATGATAGCCATGTTTCGGACAAAAGATATGGAATCAGATCTCTTGTGTGATTAATCATACTTTTGGATTGCTTCACTTTCAATGACTGCATCATTTGTAATCTGGCTTTTGTGTTATATCAACAAACATGTGGGCCTTTCACACTTAAGGTATTGAACTTGACAAAATGGTTCAAACACCAGTTATCTTTAATCGATCTAACCTAAATATGATGATGCAATACTTGATTACTCTGGGAGGGGTGAATTATTTTATAAAATGTTTCTGATATTATACCAAGCAAAGCCATTCAAATTCTACTTTATGCAATACTTACCTTTTTAGTAATTCTGTTCCGTTAATAAATATATATTGGAAGAAGGCCTGTTCCATCGACAGTTATGCATAATTCACATTCCCCGCTCTGCCAGCATGTACAAGAAGACCAAGCAGAGTGTACAACTTCCTGAAACAAAGGGAGAGATGGTGGAAAGCCACGACGTCTGAATTTGAATCTTACTTTTGTATGTTAGTAAATATTTGGTCCCAGAGAAGATGATCAGCCACTTTGAGCTTTATATTTTCTACAAGGACATTAACAACTCCTGCTTTACATTTTTCACAAAATCTTTTTGAGAAGAATCTGATAGTGTATAAGAAGGAGAGGAATTATTCCCCATATATAATGCTAATCACCAAACATGCCACATATATTCACCCATTTAATTCTCACAATAACCCAGTGTAACAGGAAACCTGTCAATGCAAGGTCCAACTTGTACTCAAACTGAAGCAGATACTATAACCTTACCCCCATATAATAAAAATTATACAAAGGTAGCAGCCAGCATTTTTTTAATGCAGGGGAGAGGGGCTTTCTTTGCTGTCCCCCACTTTTAATGGAAATGTGGAGGTGGGAGAAGAAAAGTGCCTAAAATATCTTTAGTGCACACTACATAATTAAGATGACTTTGCTAGGTTAAAAACATTAAAATACTTCACATTTTTTGGTTTTTCTAACACAGTTATAATACTTTTGAGCCACTGTGCATAAACATATCATGCACTTTACAGCAATTTCACATTTCCAACCTAAATTTGTACGACAGTGACTTAAAACATTTTTTAATATCATGGCACTACAAGGCTAGACCCCAGGGAAACTAGTATATCCTGCTTTCTGCTTCTGTGGGACAGGCAGAAACTAGAAAACCAAAGACACCCGCAACCTCCAAGCAAACAAAGGCAGTCATTATGTCTTCTGTACTTAGGAGCTTGTGCTCTGCCAAGCAGATACAGAGAGCACTCATCTCCTTCCAGCTCCCAAATCTCTTGACTTCCTCTTTCTTCTTCTCTCTGTCCAGGGTCTTTTGAGGCAGATGACCAATGAGCCCCTTGTTTCAGATCTCTGCAGGAACAAGTGGAAGCTACTCTCAGTATCAACTGAACCGTAAGTCCTTTGAGGATACAGGAAGACAACCACCAATATCAAGATCAAAATGCAAGAAGAGGAAGTGTGCAAGGAAAGGAGGTGCTACCCACCACTGCCTTCTTTATAAAAATAATAAGATCTCTGGGGACAGGACACCATCTACATTTCAGATAGATAGATACACAGATAAAGATATAGATATATAATGTACTATATTATGTGTATATATAGAAAGAGCTCAATATATTGCATTATATATATATTACACATGTATACCATTATGAATTTGTGCCAGAGCTAGAAATTTTACTTTCTCAAACTCCATGCTCAACTGTAAAGTACATAGTATATAGTCAAAAAATTGCTCTCTACTTAGTTTTACCTTTAAAAGTGTTCATATTGCATAATAAACTACGTTCTTGGGAATCAGATAATTGGACACATACTCTTCCTTTGAATCGCTTAATAATTCTATGTACTTTAGAAGGATCCAAGGACAGGAGCTGAGCCCAGACATAACAGATTCCAAAACTCTTACCTCTTCCTTAGCAATAGACAGCACTGCATGCATTCCAGAGATCATACAGTCATTTATGATCATATTTTCTTAACTATTTTATTCAGTTTCCTTAAAAAATATGTAATTCTACATTATTGGAAAAACAACACAAAAAGGATAAAAAAGGAATAAGAACAAAACTTAAAGTTTCATGTTTTAATCATTGAAAGCAATGCATACACTCCAAGTATCAAAGGAAAACATTGTCCTTTGATTGTACACCTCCTATGATGTTTCTGGGGTCCCAGTTGCTACAATAGAATAATTGGATAAACCAAGAGAAGGCTATCAATGGACAACCAGATCAATACAGAAGGTTAACTTGAAAATAAAATAAGTGAAGATTGGAAAATCAGAGTAGCCATCTCTTTTTAACATGTCAGCACATGTCCCAAACAGTGTCCTCCAAGCTATAATTGGCCTGCATAGTCCAGCAAAGTAGGCTTGCCCAAGGGTGTAGGATTTTGTTACTGCTCTTGCCAACTTCCTTCCTCCTTCCACTACTGAGACAACAGAATTCAGTCCCAAAAACAAGAGCTTAGACTTCATTCTTCTGGACTGAGCCTAACCCTTCCCAACAACCCTAGCACTGTGGTCTCCCTCCTTAGCTGTATGGTTGTTTTCCAGAGACAACCTTCCCAATCAGTCAGCAGGAACTGGATCATCACTGCTAATTACACCCCAGAAGGAGCTCTTCCAAACAAGCGTTCTGCTCCAAGGGTGAGGACCTCTTGACTATAGTACAGGACATGTCCTTCTTAAACAGGAAGGAGGGGTCTGGGGAGCCTGATCCTCAAGAAATTCTATCCAGAAAAAGAGAAGGCCAGTTTAAAAGCATTTAACATCATCTAACAAGTCCAACTGAAGTTGGGAGTGGTTAATTCCTATAGGTATACTACCTATCATTAGTTATTCAGGAGAGCAATATAGGATGTCAGTACTGGGTCAGCTGGCCTAAAGCACACAAGTCAATTAAGCAGCCCAATGAAGGTGACATGAGGCATGAGTGAGGCTCAAAGAAGGTGACACACCCAGGGTTGCCGGATACAAAACAAACACCTGATAGCTGAATGTGTTTTGAAATACCTGTAAACTCCTTAGATAAGCAGCTTCCATTCCCATGATACATGGATACTACCATGGAAAAAGAGTAGGAAACCATTAAACTGAAATACGAACTGACGCAGAATGGAAACATCCACAATAAGGAAGGAACTTCAAGCCACTTTGATCTATGCATTTCTAAATTTGGTCCAAGGTCTCATTAAAACCAAGCAGTTTATGTTTGGACCAATAACTAGAGCTCATAAAAGTTCGTCCTCAGACTGGGACTCCTTGAATGGGTGGGACATTGGTCATTTATGGTGTTTGATGACTGAATGCCAACAAGACTACTCTTCAGTACAGACAGCTTTCTTTACACCCTACAGGAGAAGAGCCTGGGGTGCATAGGACAGTAAACAAGCCCAGAAGCAGCCCCAAGTCCCAACACTGAAATTTCCTTAGACAAATCCTCACTGAGCATCTACTATGTGTCAGAGAGGAGTGGTGGGAGGAATACAAAGAAGAATAAGATGTAGGCCCTGCCCTGAAGGCTTCAGACATGGCAGAAGGAAGGCAAGCACCCTGTCAAGAACATAGATCTCATTTTGAGGATATACTCCTAAGTGAAATAAATAAGTCACACATGTGCAAATACCGAATAGTTTCTCTGGTGTGAAAAACTAAAATAGTACTCAAAACGCTAACGGGACAATTAGCAATGTGAAATAGGAAGAAAAGGATCAAAGGTGCAGGAACGGTGAGGATAGGGAAAGGGGAATAAGGGAAAAGGAAAAAAAAATATGAGAAAATGTAAAAATGGAATTAAAGTGTTTGAAAGTGGGGAGGGGAGGAGGGGGTGAAGGAAGGGTGGGGACAAGGGGAAAAAATGAGAACCAAGACCTGGCATGTAAAGGTACAGGATCCCAGTAATGAATGTAACTGTACTGTCTACCTAGAATGTACCAATAAATTCAATTTAAAATTAAAAAAAAAAAAAGCAGAAGAACATAGGTCTGACTGTGCCAATGGCTAAGCAGAAGTCAGAGAGGTTGCTTCCCCATGAAGGGGTACAAGAGGCTTTAGTGAAGGGATTCAAATGAACCCTTGCAAAACAATGAAAATACCAAGAACTATATTCTAAGCACTAGACAGACTAAGCAAGATACAGAATTCTGAGCTAAGGACTGGTTGTAGTTGGAGAAAGCACTGGAATTCTGGCCTGGGAGGAGTTCAAAGCCTGAAGCCAGAAAAGTGGATAAGGACAGACAAACACCCAGAGATCTGCAATGACTTGGAACCCACGTACTTGACCTTATTTTGTAGGCCACAGGGGCTGTAAAACTTTTGTTTTTAGATCTTATGTTTCTTGTTTTGCTTGTTTTTTGCAGTATTAGGGATTAAACCCAGGGCCTTCACATTGAGCTGTATCTGTGGCCCTATTTTTTTATTTTTTTATTTGAGACAGTCTCACTAAGTTGTCTAGTCTAGGCTCGAACCTATGATCCTCCAGAGCTCAGCCTCCCACAATGCTGGGATTACAGGTATATGCCATTGCACCCAGGGGCACATGTGCTTATTTTTAAAACATTTGTATATTAGCATTTTTTCAAGTAATTCTTAAGTGGAACTGAATATATATATAACAAAAAGAAGCAGTGTCTTATCAATACAAACTACTTCTGTAATCAGCTTTCTTACACCAGCTTGTCCTTAAATTAACCAAGGAGACCAAGTTTGAAGGATTTGAACATTTGTTGAGTTTCTTTTCAGTACCGGATCAGCTGGCCTAAAGCACACAAGTCAATTAAGCAGCCCAGTGAAGGTGACATGAGGAGTTTGACAGAAAACCCAATTCAAACTGACCCAGGCTGGGTTTTTAGAAAAAGGGACAGGGGAGAGAAAGATTTATTACTCAGATTCAGAGGGAGTGAGGTGGGGGGATTCAGGAATCAGTAGATTGAGAGGCTCAAAAGGAGTCAGCAAAACTTTCCATCCTTTTCTCAGTTCAGTGTCCTCTAAGGTGTCTGCTTGCTCTCAGGATGAGCTTGTGCCAACGGCTGTCCCTGGGGGCTCTGTGCTTATCTCAGTGTTAAGAGCTGCAGTCTTCTTCACAACAGAGCCCAGCACGGTCTCAGAAATAAACCTCCTTCCGGCTCACTCCCCAGTCTCTGACCATGTCATTGTGGCTGCGACAGTGGCACACACTGAAGGTAGTAGGTCCTATAGCACCCAGAGTCTCCACGGACTACAGTGGCTCCAGAAAGGTGTCCCATTGGAGAATTCAAATGCTATTGCTGGAAGAAGAAAGACAGATGAAGCCAACGTGAAATTTTGACTAATACAAAATTTTACAACTTGGTATAGGAGGGACTATTGCAGGTATATATCAGTTTTATGTCCAATTCGCTTCTGTGTTTACTTTCACTTGCACAAGATCGAGAAAATACCAACTTGTACAAATAATAACTGCAAATAGCACACTTACATAAAAATATGCCTAGAACATTCAGAGTCTTCTTCAATAATACTTGTGATCAAGTTTGAAAGCAGGCCGCTAGTTTGAATGATGAGAAATTTTGTTTCAGTTTAATTATGTAAACCATGAACAGGCTCCTCTGTTCACCTAAATATTCACTGGGAAAATGATTTTTAAATATATTTGTAATAGAGGAAAAATTTGACAATGTCATTTTTTGGAACACTTAGACATCTCAGTAACTATCATTATAAAGCTTGAGTATAGTAAAATAAGGGTTTTGCTTTTTGAGTCACAAAGTTTCAAATTAATTGCTGACATGTAACCTGCAAGTATAGCATGGTGATATCACAACTCCTCATTGCCAAACAAAACTCAGTCAGCTTATTAAAAACATCAGTAAGCTGAAGCAACTCTATTATGTCATAGTACTATTCACTAGGCCTCTTTTTGAGGGAAAGTCGTGATTTCTTGTTTCATGTGAAATACTAATCATAATACCTTGCCTTAAGACAGGTGTGATAGATATTACCAGGAAAAGGTAAATCACTACCTTTGACATTTTAGAAAACTTGGAAGAGTGCGAAATTTGAACATCATGCTGTATTAAACTGGCTGTACAGAGGGCATCACTAACGACTGCTTAAATGGTGTTCATATCCCCTGGATAGCCGGTGCTTTTCTATGCAACTCTCCATATCTTGTTTAAAATCGTTTGCAACACAGGTACACAGGGCTTTGTGTTATGGTGTACATAAACTGTTCTTCATGTCCTTATTCTTCTTGGTGTGTGAATGGCACAACTTTCCTGGACTAAAAGGGTTCTTTGCAAGTCCTGGAACTCTCTTATTATGGGCTTTGCCCACAGAGCTTAGTAAGGTACCCTGACCTCATTCTAAGCAGTATCCTAGGGCTCATGTTTGACATGAGATGGGACTCTAAATGTTTGATGAAGAAGTATATTTTTTAAAGAAATGCATTTTATTTATAACAAAATTAAAGAGAAATTTTCAAGGCATTGTTTCAAATAAAATTCTTGAGAGTAAAAATTTGTATACTTCTTTCTTTATTTATTTATTTTTATTTTATTTTTTGGTACCAGAGATCGAACTCAGAACCTTACGCTTGCCAGGCAGAACCACTGAGCTAAATCCCCAGTCTACACCTCTTTGTTAATAGCAAATAAAACAAAAGTTCATTTCTTTCTTTTTTTTTTTTTTTTTTTTTTGGGGTACTGGGGATAGAATTCAGGACCTTGTGCTTGTGAGGCAGGCAAATCCCAGCCCCCAAAGTTCATTTCAAGCAGTGTTTTTCAATGGCTATTTTGGCCACAAGTCAGTCTCTGTTCCGTATTCATTCATTAAACAGTTAGTAAGTACCTACTACTCATTACATTGCTCCAGCTGCTAAGGGTATATTTTTTAAGAACATTAAACATAGTCCATGGCCTCCAGGAGTCCAGTCAGGGAGAATTATAAAAAAGCAGACCACCATGATGCCACATGAGACATGCCGTGAAGGAGATATGAATATTACATGGCGTCCATCAGGCTCTTTCAGGTTGCCATGAAAAGAGATGTGCTCTGGTGGCTTGGGTCAATGAGGTTTGTTATGAAGCTCCAGGAGGAAGTGGGGAGAGCAGAAAGCAGTCTTAGCAGCTGCCTGGCATGGCCTGGCTGAGCCAGGAATGACACTGGGGACATAGTAAAACCTCCAGCCACCTGTTCCTCTTGACATAGCTTCAGCAGAAAGCATCCGCTGCTCCTTATCCAGTACTCTGCCAGTGTGATAACTCAGCCACACTCTGCTCTGCTTTCTCTGTGCGGCTAAATCCACTCTGTGTTTGCGTTCTCTACTACATGAGTCTCTCACTTTGTCATGGCTCCCACCACCATGGGGATAAGGCTTTTAGACTTCTCCCAGGGTGTCTTTCCTGCCTTGGGCTTACGCCCCCCTGAGACTCAAATTTGAATGGTATGAAAGAAGCACATAAGATACAATGACCACACTGGGTACAGCTCCTGTGTTGGCCTGCCTCGTTGACCCATAAATACCCATGCCTGGATACAGCCACGTTGATTCTGACTTTAGTCTGCTTAGCTGGGGAAACAGAGTCCTGCTAAAAAGCAGATCAGCCTGTACCCAAATGTTACCTACAGATCGTCCACCCCAGGAAGGGTGTGGCTGAAGCTACCACTCAGACCACTGTTGACTTTTCTCTAGCTTCATATCTTACCATGTTGTTTTGTTATCTGGACTCTGACTGTGTCAACCCTTCTGCTTTGCTATAAATAACATTAGAGGTACAATAGATTTTTGAAAACATGTTTTGAAAGTTATTTAAAATATTGTAATAAAAAATGTAAAATAATTTTAATATCCAATGAAAGCAAAACACTTGAAAAAATTCTGATATATTTATAACAAAGAATATTATACAGCCTTCCAAAAGAACCATAATTTAGAGAATGATGTGACAAAGGAAAATGTTCACTAACATAATGTTAAATAAAAAATTGGCATGCACACATATACTATCATTAGTAAACTACACACACAGAATCTAAAGAGAACAAACTGAAAAGATAAGTTGACAGTGACTCTTGATAGTAGGATAATGTTAGGGTCTTATGTTCTTTTTTATAAATTCTTTGTATGGACTTCCTGGAAGATGGCAGAGTGATGAGCAGCGGAGAAAGAGCTTCTCCAAGATTTGGTGTACTTTCACTGGAATATTGCAGCAAGAGGAGGAGGAGGAGGAGGAGGTGGAGGAGGGAAGTGTGTCCCCAGGACTTGGGAAGGATCTGAGGCAAGAACTGAAGTCTTCAGGGAGAGTGAAGAGAGACTTTAATGATGAGAAGGGAGGTACCAAGCAGTGCTCTCTACCAGAGCCCGGACTCTCCACAATGGAATGGTGGGCCAAAACTGCAAATGCACTATGACTACTGACGACCCCAGAGGCCTCCACAGAGAAATGCACCAGTGGAGCAGAGCAGTGGATGAACTAGACCACAGTGGCTGGTGAGTTATCTGGATTCAGACCTCACCCAGGAAAGAGTGATTGGCTGGTAGCCATCTCAGAGAGGAGCCAACTGAGCTTGGAACTCAGAACAGCTGCAGGCAGATTCCATCTAGTGGCCTCTGGAGTTTCGGTGGGGGTGCTGAGTTCAAGTCAGCAAGAGGTCAGGAACAGAGTTCAAGCCAGCAGGAGAAACATAGACTGTTGTAGGCTCAAAGAATCCAGTTCTATCCTCATAGCCAGAAACTGGCCTGAACTTCAGAGGAACTAATGGGGCAGGTTGGCTGGCATTATCCACTACCCCATTGTGAAGCCACAGCTGTCTTGCTAAGATTAATCAGTTTGGCTCTGAATTTTGTTTGCCCACATTGCCTAACAGTGACAGCAGAGACATACCTTGACTTGGACATTTTTGGGTTTTTTATCTTTTTTCTTTCTGTTTTTCCTTCTTTCTAGTTCTTGTTGTTTAGTTTTTTTCTTGATTGTTTGAATAACATTTCTAGTTTTTTGTTGTTGTTCTGTTCTGTTGTTTTTATTTTTTTTTCCTTTTCTCTTTCCCACCTGTCTTGTTCATCAGTTTCCTAAAGATTGTGCTCCAGCCTGGCTTCAGACCTCATCCTCTTCTTCTATTTCTGTTTGTTAAACCCCCTAACCCCTTTTAAATCTTCTCCCCTAAGGGTAAAAAAGCCATATTACTGGTTATAATCTGTCATTTTCTAGGCTGTATTTGATGCTTTTGTTATTGTTGATTGTACTACTTTAGCCAAGGTGACATAACTATGCTAATCAGTTGTTCCTCCTGGTATACCAAGACTGAGATAGCCTAAGAGTCTTAGAAAGAAAGAAAAAAAAAACCACACAAAACTACAGGTCAGGGCCAAAGGACCAGCAGCTGAGCCAGATAGACAGAAATTTCTCATCCCCAATAAAGTGAAGAGGTAGGATCCTGCAACTGACTCAAAACCCAAAAGCTAGCTACACCTGGAAGGTGCTTCGGAGACGTAGTCATTTCCTAAGGGTTCTGAATACTGGCAATAAATCTATTCTCCATAAGTAATTTACAAGCAACAACTCAGGAATCAAACTTTAAAAAAAAAGAAAGAAAATGAGAAGACATTTAAATAAGATACAACCCCCACAGACTTTCAGCTCACCAAGGGCAAACTCCAGGGATAATGAAGTAGAACAATCCAAAAGCCACCCACCTGGACTCTCTGAAGTGGTAACAGCAGAAGTAACAAAGTAGATGAGGCTCTAGGAAAAAAAATCAAAGCAAAATAATTTTCCAGATAATTATAGAGATGGTGACCAGAATGAAAGATTAAAAAAAAAAGAGGAGCTTAGGAATGTGATAGAAACCATGAATGCTCAGCATAGGAAAGAAATGGAGTCCACGAAACAGATTCAAACAAATATCCAGGAGATTAAGAACTCCATTGAAAGTGCACATAGCAGAATGAGCCAATACAAGGACAGAATATCAGATATAGAAGACAGGGTCATGGTTAGTGATCAAGAAAAGAGAGATTTCTTAAAAATAGCAAGGGACCATGAGAAATCAATCTAGCAGCTGCTAGATGGTGCAAAGAAGAATAACACAAGATTGATTGGAGTCCAGGAAAAAGCAGGAAATAGTGCATATGATTAAAAAACGTGTTCTCAGAAGTGATGTCAGAAAACTTCCCAAAAATAATTGGACATACAGATAAGTAAGGCATATAGGACTCCAATTAGCCATGAAAAAAATCTTCCCCAAGGCATATAACAGTCAAGATTCCAGAAATTCAACATGAAAACAG